CGGGTGCAGAGCGAAAAGCAAGAACCCCACATAGTGATGTGGGGAAACACCATAGTGTATGGGTTTTGCTGGCTGAAAGATGCAACAGCGTTTGTCGCGTAGAGAAGTGGCGCAAGCACTTGGGAGGTGGGCGCACGACGGCTGCAAGCGCAGGAGCTCTGCATGGAGGAGCTTCAAGTTTGGGCACTCCATTTTGGATTCAATGAAACTCTTCGTTCCAATGAGCTCAACAAGGGAGTGGCGCACCCTCTTGCTGTCATTGCCTGCGCAGGGCAAGCTGGGCCTGATCCAGGACCATCAGGTGTCGCGTTTGCAGCTTGGCTTACCACCCAGATGAGTATATGCGCCCTTCGCTCCAATGGACTGCTCATGCGTTGCGCATCTCGTGGGACATGAGCGTTCCAGATGTCGATATGTCTCTGTGGCTCTCCCTCTCGAAGAAGTCCAACCATACTGGAAAGATGAACGCGTCAGATTTGTTACTTTCGGGATTGAACATGTCGGAATAGTTGACCGAAACTTAAAGCGATCGAGAGAACTACATCTTCTTTCTACTCTTCCTACATGCCCGGGATTTGCGCGAGGCAAACAGACGCATTGACTGGACCATGCTATCTCAACTGCGCCGAGAGGGTTGACTTTCCGGTCAGGATTCCTGGGACACGCAGAAGGACCCCGATGATTTCATGTATCATCACGGACGCTCGCGCAAATCAAGCAGAAGAGATGATGATTGATGGAGCGCTCAGCAAAGAAGGGCGTAGATCACAAGGAGAAACGCTGATCTGCGTGGGAACAAGCTCACTTCGAGAAGGTGAGGAGGGAGGCATCCATTTGTTTGCTTTCTCGAGCGCGATCGTTCGTTGAGTTTGTCGCTCAACCATGCAAGCAGAAGCTTGCTTCAGGCAGGCATTGAAATAAGGCAGGAGATCGAGTGAGGGCTGCAGCGCGACCTTTTTGCCAGTCGAAGGAGAAGCGGTGGGAGAGTTCTGCGGCAAGCTTCACGAAGCAGGTGGTACAGCAGGTCCCGGGTTGATTCGTTGAAGAACGAAGCCGGCAGACTAGACTCTCAATTGAGTTGGCCTCGATATGGCGTATCCCAGGAGAAGCTGAAGTTTCTCAAGGGATCACTTCATGCGCGACGAGAAGCCGAAAAAATGACGGTCAGCGTTCCGCTGGGTGGACACCAACGCGATGCTGGCAGACCCTTTGACGAAGGTCATGGATCCGTGCAAGTTGGCTCAGGCATTGGAGACGAACAAGTGGAACTTGGAGCAGCCAATCAATGCTATGATTGCGGCGAGGCTCCAATGCGAAAGGCAGAGACCAAGGGACTTCCTGAGGAATACAGAAGTTTACTCTACAAAGTATAGCAAGCAGATGAACTGCGCTACAGGACTATTTGGATTATGAGGCCCGCCGGACGCTGGCAAAATACTGAGGACTTTGTGTGAGCCCCGCAGGGGCAGATTCAGCCAGATGATGAACATTTTCCGCCGGGACAAGCTGAACTGAGAGTATTGGTTTTCGTATGGTTCGTAGAAATTTTGCCAGAGAACGCAGCCCCCTACTCTCGCAGAAATTTGGTACACCACGCCAACCGATTCACGGGTGTGATGTATATAGCATGTTTTTGCACCGCTTTTGCAAAGCATTGCGCATGTTGACCTCTGCTGAGATCTTCTACAGTACATAGATGGGTTCGTTCGACCGCCGCAGAGTGCACTTTTGAGTCAAGCCGCGAAAACATATCTGCCAGCTGTTTTCACAGGTGCTTTTCAAAGGGCCTGGCCATGTCGCTGTTGATTGATTGTTAAACTTATTCAGCCCGAGGCTTTGCTTGCACCTGGCCCAGCTGCGGTGTGAGCGAGACATGGAGGAGGTCACTTTCCGGAAGGAATGCGAGGCTGGTGTTCTCATAGCTGGTTGTGTGTGGAAAGTTTAGAATATTTGTCTGAACCTTTCAAGGCACTTCTTGCTACCGCCGTGGACCTCAGGGCAGACCGAAGGATGCTGGAAGAGGAACCTGTATATGCGATGGGAGTGCTTTTTCATAGGGTTCATTGACTCAGTATGTGCAAACCAATTGTGTGTATGCAGTGGGGCTCTCAAGATTTCTCAACTACCACAAGGGCAATAGATATGTACCCTTGGACACAGGAAATGGTTTTCTACCTTACGCAGTCTCTTCAAGTGTCTTCCACAAATGACAACCTCAATGGACGAGCCTTTTCGCCAGCCAAGTTGAGCAGAAGGCACCTATGCCCAAGTAAAAGTTGCAATGAAAACCTACCCAGTATGAATGAGACGATTTGAAATCATTGCAAGAAGTGTCGTGATTGGAGTTGGCATGCAGCCCTTGCCCAAACACCGGGTCCACCAAGAGAGTAAGACTAGAAGGAACTATGGTTTGCTTTTCTGTTGCCATACTGGTACTTCCATCCATCGCCTCAAGACACGGTGTTTTTTCCTTTCATTCTGTTCATGTTTGTCATTCCTTCCTTCCTTCCTTCCTTCCTTCCTTCCTTCCTTCCTCGCCCGCAAGAATTGGCTCCACCGCACGCATGTGCATTGTGTGTGCGTGTGCGGTGCACCATTGCACCTGGACACGATTTTTTTGTTTTCCTTTTCCTTTCATCAGGTTCTGCATTTGAGGAAACAATGATAAAGAACAGCGACACACTGCGCAGTTTTCTGCACTTGAGGAGACAGCTAGATGGGAACGAATTGCGACGGTGGAGGCTGATGTTGAAGAGAGAAGTTGTGCGAGGACTGAATTGTTGGCTATGCTTTAATCTAAGGTCAAAGCAAGTTGACGTTTCGAGAGCAGCAAGAAGATTAGCTGAACTGTTTCATTTGTTCGACGCTGCATCAGGAGTGAGAAGACTCAGCGAACTTTGCTGAACGAACTCGAGGTTTGAACACTTCGTTCCTGAAATGGTTTTGTTGATAAGCTCGCAGCATGTTGTCGTTGCAGGAAGGTCAGAATGAGTTGAGAGCTGCCTCGGCTTCACTTCGAGGGGTTTGGTCCTGAGATCCTCCAGAGAAAGGAAACACAACTGTGAAAGTGAAGTTGCATTCATGTCATGACAAGCCTTGTTTCATGGAAACCCGCGGTTGAGACATGTCGGACCCCGCCAACCTTCGGTTGGCTCAAGCCTTGCCTGATGAAAAGGCGCGTTTTTTGCCGCGTGAGACCAGTTTCAACACTGGCAGCGGAGCCCCAAGGGGCACCCTCACCACGTGTTAGCTCCTTGCCATGTCTGGAGACCCTCCGCTATGACGGAGCGCAGAGCACCACCCTGGCGACAAGCCAGGACTCCTTCGACTCTGAAGGTAAGTTCGGGATCCCTCGCTTCTCAGGAGAGCCAGCTCAGCTACCAGAGTACGCCTTCCGCGTCCAGATGAGGATGCTGCGCGAGAAAGGAATGGAAGAGAGCGAGCTGAAGAAAGTTGGCCCCTTGGGCATACGGCTTGTGGAGGGACTTCGTGGACAAGCCCTTCGCCTTGCCCAGCAGCTGAAGCCTGAGGATCTAGCAAAGCAGTCAGGCCCTGAGACACTCCTGAAGCTGTTCAACGACACCCTGAAGCCGAGCATCTAAAGAGGCACGAGAACTCTACAGTGCCGGGTCGAAAGAAGGCGGCATGCTCAGTCGCCAGTCTGGCGAATCTATGTCAAGCTACATCACCAGAAGAAGGTCCTACGCCGTCGCCATCCCGGACGTGATCCTCGCGGAGCAACTTCTTACGAATGCTCAAATCTCTGGAGATCAGAGATTGATGGTGCGAACAATGCTCCAAGGCACCCTGACCTTCGACACGGTTGCCTCTGAGCTGATAGCACAGCGCCCGAGGATCCATGAGTTCGAGAAGCAACGGGGCGGAAAAGGCTATGGGAATCACTCACGCCCATGGTCACGACCTCAAGGACATCAACATCGCCACAACAAGCCCTTCCGGAGCTACTTGGCTGAAGATGCAGATGAATGGGAGAGTCAGGACCTCACTGGCTTTGATGAAGTTGAAGAGGATCAAACTGCCTACTTCCAGGACACCAAGACCGTTGTTGAGGAAGATGCTGAGGTCTACCTGGAAGAGCACATGTGCTATCTCATTGAGAATGGCATGGACATGGACAACGAAGAAGCATGTGCCTTGGCAGCTGAAACCCTCCAGCTTGAGTATGAGGCCTACAACATGAGGCAGCACGCCTCTGGAAAGGGTCATGGTGGCTTTCACCAAGCCCGTCAATTTGATGTTTCTGGACAGCTCTCATTCCAGGAACGAAAGGCCCGTTTGATCCAGCTGAAGTCGAAGACCGAATGCCGTCGTCGCCATCAGAAAGGTCATTGGTCGGGGGATCCACAATGTCCCAAAGGATCACGAAAAGGCAGCGGCATGTTCTCTGGGAGGTCACCGAGCACTTCATCGACTTCACCGCCTTCTACCTCCAAGAGTGGCAAGAGCAAAGGCTCTGGGAAGCACAAACCCAGAGTGGTCTACTTCAGCACGAAGGAACAAGAGGATGTCCCCGATCCAGGAAGCGAGAAGGCATGGTGTGGTATGGCTCTCAAGGAAGATCCACGACACCGTGGAGTCTGTGTACCACCACCTTCAAGCCTGCAGAGTCCTTCACGATCCACTGCACCTCCGACTACCAGTCCGCCTACGGGACTTCGTGCTAAGGCAGCTCCAACTCAGCCCGCTGCGCACGATGCTATGGCATTGAGTATGACCCGGGTGCCTCAACTTCCTTTTGGAGTTCCACGTAACGATTCAGCACAAGTTGAACTGCAAGATGCTGGCACCGAGGCCTTGGTTGAGAGGTCTTTGCATTTGGCTCCTTCAGAGCTTCGTGGCCGTCTGCTCACTCAGGATGAGATGGATGAGCAAGCTCTACACGCAGCTTCGCACATGGTCGCAGACATGGAGGCCATGGAGGTGGAATCTGAAGGCTATGAGCCCAGCATCTATGATCCAAGTTTGATGTCTTTTGAACTTGTATCTCATGCACCTGGGCCCTCCTCTGGATATGGACAGAGTGGCATTCCCTCAAAAGCACCAAGTGTTCCTCCGCTACCACAAGGTCATCAAGGCCCTGAATGTGAACACAAGAAGACAACCAAAAAGGGCGCCAACAAGTACTACACGATGGTGTCATGTGTGGACGGCGGTGCGATCTTGGAAAAGACCAGAAAGCCAGAGACTACAACTCCGGCAAAGTCAGCGCCACCACCTCTGCCAGCAACGGCAGAACAAGAGCTATGTCCTCACCATCGCATTTCATGGAAGGGAACAAATGGCTTCCAGACGCGACAGACTTGTCTGGATTGCGGCTTTGTCAGGATTGGCCGCCCAAAGTCAGCGCCAGCTCCTTCGAGATACTCATCCTCAGCAGAAGGAGACCTTCCTTTGAGTTTCACTCCTCAAATGGCCCAAGCAGTCTTCCGCATGAGCAGCATGATGGCCCTCATCAAGCACAACGAGACCGGTGAGAACCTCACAAGTGAAGATCTATCTCGTCTTTTGCGAGGTGCCATGCTCTCCATCGTGAATTGGCCGCCAGAGGATAGTTTCACTGATTCCAATGCACAGGCAGCTTTTTCTCCGGGTCCTCGACCCTCCTGCACAGGTACTCCACCAGCTTCTACTGCCACATCGCCTGTACCAACACCAGATCGAGGCACGGCTCGAGACAGTCGCCATGTCAAGATCTTGAACTTCGGCCGCTACAAGGGCCAAAGCTATGAGAAGGCCTACCAGGACGCCTCCTATGTCAACTGGGTGTTGGGCGAGTTGAACGAAGACTCAAATCCCATCTTCATGCATTTGGGTCGCTACTTTGAGGACCGGCGCATGGCAGAAAGAAGCAACACAGCTTTCATGGCAACCAAGACGATTGAGGTCTCAGACACTGAAGAGGACTTCCCTACTTCAGAGACGGTCGCCTCCGAGACTGACCTCATCGCCATCTTGGATTCAGGCTGCAACAAAACATGTCATGGTGAACTTTGGCTCCAAAAGTATGCCGCAGCAGTTGGACACTCCATTGATGAGATTCCCATGAACCCTGAAACTGGTTCCTTCAGAGGCATTGGCGGCTCGGTCACCGTCCTCGGACTTCGCAGCTTGCAAGTCGGATTTGAGCTAGCTGACGGTGGCATCGCCATTGGAGACATCGACTCCACCGAACTGCAGGGCAGCTCAGCACCTCTCTTGCTCAGCATTGGTGATCAACGCAAACTTGGTCTTTGCATCGAGCTTGGCAACACTGAGTCTGTGTTCAGCCCATCGCAATGGGTGCTTGGACGTCTACCTCGTGAAGTTTGCTCACTCACAGCGGAAAATGATGATACTGAACATCTTGGAGTGCATCATGAAGGCATTGATGATCCGCTGGATGAGTTCTCCAAGCAGCTCGAGATTAGACAGGCAGCAAAGCAGGCCTTTGTCCAAGCCAACTCTTCCAGAAGAATCAGAACAGCTTTGCTTCGAAAGTCAGTTCCACTACGTGGCCCCTATAAAGCTGGAGATTTGGTCAGCTTCCATCGCAAGGGCAAATGGTTTGGCCCAGGCCGCATTGTGGGAACTTCTGGAAGGGCAAACTTTTGGTTGGTCCATGGAGGAATACCGATCATCGTATCGGAAAGCCAGATCCGCCCTGCAACTCGATCCGAAGTACCCTCAAAACAGCTTCTCGAACTACGACCATCTCGGAAGAGACGCAGGGAGGCCTTTGAAGAGCCTATGGATGATGTACCACCATTTTCTGAAGATCTTCAAGTACCAGCTCTTCAAGAGGCACAAGAAGATTTGCAACCTGGCTACATTGAACTGCCAGTTGAAGCAGGATCTGGTCCTTCACCATCTCCAATGCCAGAGCCAACTTCTCCTGAAGAGCCGGAAACTCCGTTTGATCTACCTCATGAACTTCCATCAGTACCAGAAGAAATGGCTCTTGATGATGAAGAAGAAGTACCAGTTCCTCCAGAGCCAGATAGACAAGAATCTGGACAACCAGAATCGGAAGCGTCACACCCTATGACAGTGCCATCAACTCCAATCATGGCTCCTTCCGTTGGCTCCACTTCCCTGCAAACAGCTCTGAACCGCTCAGTGGATCAACTGGACGGCTATCCACGTCCGGAAGTTCGACCTCCACCAGGTCTACTACCTGTTCAAGGAAGATCAAGGTCGCCACTACGAGACCCACCTGTTCCTCGTGATGAACGTGGCCTGATGGCCATTGCAGCTGAAGAGAAACGCTACCATGGCTTTTTGGCCAAGCGCTTCAAGAAGAAGAAGCGCCAGGTGGGCGCTCACAGGGAGATTAACTTCAACACCTGTGACCCGAAGACCAGAGCTGGGCTCATTTTGAGCAGAAAGAAAGAGTGGCGCAACTGGATGGACTTCACCGCTGTCCATGTGATCAAGCCCAAAGATGTCAAGGGCTACCTGCTGAAGAACCCGCGCGTGAAGATTGTGCCAACTCGTTGGGTCGATTCCGACAAGAATGAAGTCGGAGAAGAGTCACAACTGAAGTCAAGACTCGTTGTTCGTGGTGACTTAGAATGGCACCCAACCAAGTTGAGGACTGATAGCCCAACGTGTTCACAGCTCATCGTGAACATGATCCTGGCGCATGCAGCTTCCATGAACCTGCGAGTCAACGCAGGAGATATCAGTGCAGCGTTCCTTCAAGGTGTGAAGATCAATCGCACCCTGGTTCTCTCACTGCCGTCTGGAGGTGTTCCAGATGAAGATGCGCCAGAAGGATCACTGCTTGTGGCCGAGAAGTCCGTCTATGGCACGACCGACGCCCCAAGAGGATTCTGGAAGCGACTTCATGAAGTGCTTTTGCAATGCGGCTTAAAGCCAATTCCTGCAGAGGCTGCCGCTTACTACTTGCCAGGTCCCGAGAACGAGATTCAAGGTCTCCTGGGCACCCACGTCGACGACATCCTATGGACCGGCAATGAGAGAATGGACAATGTCATGAATTCTGTCCAGCAGCACTTCCGCTTCGGCAAGATTGAGGGCAATGAGTTCAAGTTCTGCAGTTGTTTGATCAAACAGCAGGAGGATGGCGTCTACCTTTCAAGTCCAAACGTCATGGACCGAGTCAAACCGGTCTACATCCATCCTGATCGGCGAGCTCTTCGTGCCGAGCCAGCAGATGAAAAGGAGATCTCTCAGCTTCGCTCCGTGCTGGGAAGCATTTCATGGTTTGCCAGGACATGCCGTCCGGATCTCTCCTTTGCCGTCAACCAGCTCCAGTCAGTGCAAGCAACTGCACGAATCCAGGACCTCGTCGAGGCCAACAAGCTGTTGAACTTTGCCGTCAAGACCAAGAAGAAAGGCATGGTCTTTAGCAAGAATGGCCCAAAGCTCAATGAGTGTATGATACTCTCAGTGACTGACGCTAGTCACGGGTCGAGCTTCGAAGATCTTGGAGGCGGCAGACTGGGCGGCAACAGATCCCAATCTGGGAGGATCCTTGCTCTAGCCTGACAGGACTTCATGACCGAGGGCAGGCACTGTGGCTTTGCTCTCTTGGTGTTCGACCACCATCAAGAGAGTGCGCAGGAGCACCATGCAAGCTGAGACTCTCAGCCTTCAGCTGGGATCAGAAGAAGCAGAGCATCTTCGCCAGATCTTCTGCGAGGTCAAGAACCTGACCGATGGCAGCCGAGGAAAAGAAAGATTTGTGAAGGCATGCGATGCCATGGCAATCGGATGGCTCACCGATTGCAAGAGCCTCTACGACCACCTCTTCATGCCCGGCATCAGCGAGGTGACGGACAAGCGCCTTGCCATTGACCTGACGGCTTTGCGTCAGGACGTTTGGCGAAAGCCAGGTGAAGAGACTGGAAACCCGAGCTATGATGATGCTCCACCGGCTGATGGCACCACGAAAGTGGCATGGGTCGACACCTTGACAATGGTGTCGGATGGCCTCACCAAAAGGATGAAGAGCCCGCAGCTGGATACGCTCACCAGGAGCGGATGGTTGGAAGTTAGCTTCACGAAGCTTTCATCGCCTGGTTTCCATGAAAAGAAAAACAATGGGTGTGAAAGTGAAGTTGCAATCATGTCATGACAAGCCTTGTTTCATGGAAACCCGCGGTTGAGACATGTCGGACCCTGCCAAGCTTCGGTTGGCTCAAGCCTTGCCTGATGAAAAGGCGCGTTCTTTGCCGCGTGAGACCAGTTTCAACACAACCATAACCAGATCACTCCTCTTGGTAGATGAACATTTGAATGCTGAAAAGGAAGTGGACAGCAAGATGTCGAAGTTGATCTAAAGGTCTTGGATAGGTCTTTCGGAAAGATTGACCTTTCTGGCTTCTGATGTTTTAAAACCGTTCCCGAAAGATCCTGGATGGGGTTCGCGAAAGTATCTTTTCTCTTTTCGAAAGATCTGTTGAAGGTTCCCTGCCAGCATAAGTCTCAGAACAGGCTTCTGGCAGAGTGGCCAAGGTTTGGTGTGGACTGGTCGCAATGTCCATGTCGTAGCTCTGTCTATGGCATGCCCATTGCAAAATATAGCCATTTCTGTAGATCGTGAATGCAACGTGAAAGATGCTACAAGCCATAAGCCATCATACATGAAGACATTGAGCATGGTGGCTCATGGCACAACTCCCCGACCAGGAACTCGGGGTGGACAGAAGCAAATTCTACAGATATGACATGCACCTGACAAGCAGACAACCAAGTTGATGGCCTCGGCCTAGTTGGCTCCTTTTCGGTATCGTGATGTCTGGACACTGTGTGGGTTGAAATGGTGTCCCAGCGTCAGGTCGTCATAGCCAGAGTTGCTGCAGGCGTCGTTGCTGTAGGCAAATTGTCAGAATGTCTCAACCATATGGCGGCGGTTCATCAAGCGCCTGTTCGCATTAGTGCAGAGTATTCTTCATGCTGCGCATGCGTGCCGTTGCACAGTATTACTGCACGGGCTTGTCACGTGCTGTGCTAGCCGCTGCTAGGCTATGGCTACATATTCTCGACCACACACACGAAGGGTAGCATATCCGACATTTTTGTGTTCTTCCTGGATGCACGTCGATCGGGATGGGGACACTGCTGTTTTTTCCTCTTTCTTCGTGCTTCACACTCACTCAACACAAGGATCACGGAGCTCTTCGTGGCTGCGCTATGGTGACGGTACTTCACTGGTGTGATTGCGGGGGAGTCAATCTTGACAGTCCCTCAGGTGGATGGTGCTTCCTCATTTGGCCAGAAAGATACCTAGACATTCTCAGCACGGTTTGGACCCTTGTAGATACTCCGGAAATGTTGTCCTTGTCGAGAGTATCAAAGCAACCCCCTGATATGAACAAGAGTGTCTATTGGCAATTGGTAGATTTGGTAGGTATGATCTTGCCTCGGCCACTTGCTGACCTTGCAGAGCCCAAACCTGTATTTTCAAGTCACGAAAGGTAGCCCTTTAGGGGATACCTTGAGTTTGTCTTGCGAAGCAAGTGTTGGCGCGTCCGGGTCTAATAATTGATCATTCAATTCAACCCCCCCCTCTAAATTCAATTCTCTCCTGGAGAACGTCTTCGTGAGCCTCTCATGAGTTGAAACCCTCTTGAACATTCAGAAAGAGTGCATATGAAAGTCTAATCACGAAAGGTGTTCCCCGAGGGGATACATACCTAGAGTTTGTTTTGTGAAGCACGTCAATTTCTCTCCTGGCGAACGTCTTCGTGAGCCTCTTATGGTTTCAGGATAGTTCAAATCCTATGATGCTCCGATTCAATGCTCACCATCTGAGCCATGGGGCAAGTTTGTTTTCCTAAGAATCTTTTTGAACATTTCGAGAGCATATGTTTGAACATTTAGAGTGCATATGAACGTATATTTACGACAGGTCGCCTCCGAGAGGATAAATCACCATGTCGAACATTGCATTTTTGTTCCTGCCTCTCGCGTTCTCTTCTCTTCCCGCTGTCCTACCTTTCGTGTCTCCCTCCTCTCAAGTTCGTAAACCTGAACGGAACTCCAGTTGCTGGCTTTCGTTCCTTGGTTGCCAACTGTGTTGCTGATTCCTTTTGTGCCTTTTGAGGTTGCTGCGGACTGGGTTATTGAAGATGAGCCAGAGAAGAGACTAGAGCGATCTGAGGCCTGTGAATGCTTCTTGTGCACGAGATTTACACGAGCATCCAAACAGTTCACGGAGGCCTGTTCCAGCGTAGTACTGGTAGCATAGGCATAGGCCTGTCAGTCAAAGGTACTCCTGCATCATGCGAATTATCGCTGAAGCCGAGGCAGAATGCCGCCATGCGACACATTGCAAAGCAGAGTTCGAGGAGGCGGCCAAGAATGCGAGGGACTTCTTCTACATATATCGATAACTCAATATTCACAAGGCCTACCGTGCCCATTCACATGCTTTACCACATCATCAACACAAGTTCATTCTAGGTGTTGTTTCCTGTATGCCCGGAAATGAACACATCTTTTTCCATCTTTTCCTTCCCTCCTCCCTCTGACTCTCATCTCTACTTTCCTTTCATGTCTTTTCTTTGTTCTTACTTTCCCTTGCTCACTTTTCCTATTCTGGTCTGAATTCCCAAAAGAAAATCAATTGAGCATGCTGGCGGTTGATAGTAAAAAAGCTTCCCCAGGGTTGAACTATAAAAAAATAATGATCACTGAAAAGACCTTAAGACAATTAAAACTTTTAGGAGAGGATCACTGGCTGTTCAAAACTGGGATCGCGATTTTATAGTGAATTGCTTTTTTGGAGAAGAAAACAGTTGGTACGCAAACATTTAGAAGAGATATTGACTTTACTAAGGAACAAGTTGCCAGTGTGAAATGTGGTTTTAATATGTGTTAATTGTATACAACATGTTTTTGCCTCACATGTTATAGAGACAAGCGTGGAAAACTTAAGAATTTATGATTATACAGCAAAGTTGGCTAGTGAGCAATATGACGTGATTTTTTTGGATACAATGACTTTATGTACAGAGAAAGAAGTGACCACTTCGCGAGAAAATTGAACATATCGTGTGAGTGGTAGATGTGTAAACTATTGTGAACTCATCATTGATTCCAATGGTTCTTTTTTGTTTTGTAAGTTTGCAGATGATTGGTTTGTACTTTTTAAACGCCTTCCTTCATTTGATGAGATGAAATCCAATGATGACAAAATGAGTCTAGACGAGACCAGAGCGAGAAGGAGAAAGACATTAGCTGAGTCTGTCGGAAACGTACCGTACACAGAAACGGAAACGGATAGTACTTTCCCGATTGCTTTGCTTGTATTTTTGTCTCTGATCCGTTTACAGTAGCGTGTTTCTGATTTCTTTGTAGATGACTGTTCAGCAGAAAAATTACTACTGAGTAACTCTGGCGCACAGTTTTTAATAAATCTGTTGTGGCTGTAAACGCACTTTATGAACCTGTGCACCCCATTCTATAGTGACTTCATTTGGCTACCCTGCGACTTAAGGATGTCAAGTTGTTTGAACAAACGTATTATTATTAATATTATTGATTGTATAGTGATTTGTGGGTATACACGCTCCTGAACTTTTGATTATTTATAGCGTAATCCTGCCCCAAAAACTAGAACCCTGCGGTTTAAGTGCTATAGAATGCGAGGGCAAGTAGCTATATAAATTAACATGGGGATCTTTTCCTTGTGTTCTTCCTTGTTTGCGCTATGTTTTTCTTCTTTCCCTTTCCTTCCCTGCCCCCGCTCTTTCCATTGTGTCATCCTTTCTAATTTGCTTCTTTAAAGAAACACTTGTATGCGTTCCTTGCTTTCCCTTCGCCTTTGCGCAGCCGCAACTGGGGAGAAAGAGGGTTGGAGCTTATAGCTCAGTTCTCATTTGCATAGGCTTCTCATGGCTTCTCTCAAGGAAACCATGTCAACCTGGCCAATGTTTTCCGTGTTTGTTTGCTCCAGTAGTTTGAAGGATTGACGTCCTTGACTGATGTTGACAAGCTGTATTGCATTTTTCATATGTCATATCATATGTCCAATGGTGGCCGGTTTTGATTCAATGAGCGATGCTCAGGCGCTTTCGGTCTCAAAGCAATTGGTGCACCGTTTGCGGAAGAAGCTAGACTCGCATACCGAGGAGAAGCCATGCACTGCTTGTTGGGCTTTTCTGTGTTTGCATCCGAGAAATATGAAGAGCGAGTATTCTTTAGCTGGAGGACACCCTTCGTTCCAGTGCTTCAACTGCAAAGCTCCTTGTATTGTATTATCAGGTCATACAGAGTCATACATGGTGTGCTTGAGTCGCCGGTAACTCGAAGCTGAGTCTTCTAGGATGGCTGGCAGACGTGGATTCCAGGCTAGAAACCCGCAAACTGCTTGAAGCTGCTTGTTTTCTTCTTTAACCTTCGCTGCTTATGACTGCTTGAATGCTTAAAGTTGGCTTTTGTGACATGGACAATGCTCCTTTCTGACTTGAGGTTGGAGTGACTGTGTCACCTTGTAGGACCTGGATCAACTTCGCCAAGAAGTGCGCCGCCTTGGTGTCCAAGTAGAGATTGCAGAGCAAGAGTGTGGAGAAGAGGCCACCCGGCCACGCGACGTTGGGATTTAGGCCGCCAGCACGATTGGTTTACAAAAAGAAAACAGGACAGTGGGTGAAAGCGTCCAACACTTTCCCGATTGTATCCGTATATGCAACACTCTTTACCACCATCATCATCATCATCATCATCATCATTCTCCTCGACGTCGTCGTCGTCGTCATTTTTTCCCAGGCAGAAAGTACCTACTTGTACCTACTTACAGAAAGAGAACCAAGGAGGAATTTCAAGAGAGCACTTGCTGACGGAATTCTATCAGCATGGCTTTTGGGAACCTGCTTTTCTCTCTTTCCTCAAGCGCAGGTATGGGCTGCAAGTCAATAAGAGTGCAATTCACAGACAACTGCTGCTGCTACTGCATTAACATGCTTCAAACACACCTACAGCAAGAGCTGCTTGAGAAACTCTTCCACGATCGATCCATTGGACGATCTTGTGTATTTGCATGCTTTGACTTGGAACTCGCCACAAAAGGGGGAACGCACTTGGACAGTTGGGGTTTACAGGCGAATGACCAACGGCTGGCTGGTCACGCTAGTCGGTTCAGAAACTGTCTACAGCACTGTATTCTGAATGCAAGCATCAACAAAAAACAGCTGCTGCGGCTGCGATTGAAACATTAAACTTCTTCCTCTATGTCAAAGACACGTTTTAATGGCACTGACTGAATCCAGTGTGCAGAATTGGCAAGCAAAGCGAGACTTTCGGCACAATCCGCCCTCCTGATTTCTTGCTGGATGCTGATCAGGCCAAGTTGCTTTGGGATAAAAAGGATACAGAGCTTCCACGCCTTCGTGACAGGATCTTAGTATAAAGTGCCAGGGAGGGTGATGCTGACATTCATCTTGAAGCCGAGGCCGCTGAGCGCGAGAGGCAACAACTTGTTGCAAGGCTGGGTCAGGCTTGGATGAGTCAAGGAGCTGGTGGAGCTGTTTTTGCTTTGAATCGTTGACATTTTGCATGCTGTTTTTTCAGGCGCGCTACGATCGCGACCACCTCGAGCGAAACTTCACTCGAATTATCAATGGTTTACAAGAGCATGAGGCCACTGTCCCCGATTAAGCAAGACGATCAGACATTTGTCATGCAAGTTACAGTATGCGATGAAGGCGCGCATGGAGCAACAATCTCAACAGCTTTCCGAAGGGCTTTTCCTTTGTCGCCGGGAGGGAGAGGTGCCAATGGCTGCTTTTTGCACCCAACATCCAATTGGCCTTCTTTGCCAGGAGATGGTCGCAACAATGAAGGATAACGACCGCAATATTGCAGAGATGCGCGCTATCCTCCGTTCACCTATACAGCAAGTCTTTTGAAGTGCAAGAGAATGTGAGAGATAGTCCCAGCATGTTCCAGCAGCTTTGCAACGTGATCAACCATTTGTGCATCTGTGCAACAAAGCTCGACTCCCGAGGGAAGGAGCGATGGGAGACAGAGGCAGGGCATCGGGCATTCTTGCTGAGCTTTACTTTTTGGGCACTGGAGGCGTTCATCGAGCACCTCAGCAAGCAAGTTGCAAAACTCGAGGCCAAGTGTGTGACAGAGAGGTGTTGTAGAAAGTGTGTGGATTGAAGGACGAACGGAACTCGCTCAAGACCAGTCTTGGGCATGAACCAGGCAGGATTCAAGCTCATTGGCCTTACACCATTTTTGAAGCCCGGGCATTGAGGCGCTTTGGCAGGCATAGACCATGATGTACGTGCAAGGATCTCAGAGAGGCTATCAGAAGCTGGAAGCAACGACAATAGCAAGAACCAGCAAACCGGTTATATAGCCTCTTTTGAATGTACGTATGCAAGTCAACCACGGTCACGTTACGTGACCACTATGAGACTGTCTGTTTGCTGAGGAAGTGCGGAATAATATTGTTTTTGAAACAGGCCAATGGTCAAAGGAAGTTTAGGGTGCAAAACTTCCGTGTTACGGACTTTCAACAGCTCTAGCTCTAGTTTCAGTCAGCTCTCTAGCTCCACTTTAGCTCCAGTCAGCTCTAGCTTTAGTTAGCTCTAACTCCAGTCAGCTCTAGCTTTAGTTAGCTCTAGCTCTGGCTTTGCAGGTGTTCAACATGCATTTTGGAAGGAAGTCTCGTACAAAGTGCGTGTTTGAGAGAGAGCGGAAGCACGAAATG